AAGGGCACCTGTCAGGGGGTGAGATATATTAGGCAGCAGGTGAACAGACAGTTCTCAAAGTTGATGTGTTGGAAGCAGGAAAAATGGGCAAGCATAAGGATCTGAGTGACTTTGATAAGGGCCAAATTGTGATGGCTAGACGACTGGGTCAGAGCATCTCCAAAACAGCAGGTCTTGTGGGGTGTTCCCAGTATGTAGTGGTTTGTACCTACCAAAAGTGGTCCATGGAAGGACAACCGGTGAACCGGTGACAGGGTCATGGGCACCCAAGGCTAGCTGTCTAGTCATCATCACATCATCGATGTGCATGGACAGTGAAGGCTAGCCTGTCTGGTCCAGTCCCACTGAAGAGCTACTGTAGCACAAATTGCTGAAAAAGTTAATGCTGGCTATGATTTAAAAACAAGTGTCAGTACACAGTGCATTGCAGCTTGCTGTGTCTGGGGTTGCATAGCTGCAGACTGGTCAGAGTGCCCATGCCGGGCCCGTCCACTGCCGAAAACACCTACAATGGGCACATGAGCACCAGAATTGGACCATGGAGCAATGGAAGAAAGTGGCCCGGTCTGATGAATTACGTTTTCTTTTACATCATGTGGATGGCTGGGTGCACGTGCGTCACTTACCTGGGGAAGAGATGGCACCAGGATGCACTATGGGAAGAAGGCAAGCCAGCGGGCTCAGTGTGATGCTCTGGGCAATGTTCTGCTGGGAAAACTTGGGTCCTGGCATTCATGTAGATGTTATATTGACATGTACCACCTACCTAAACATTGTTGCAGACCAAGTACACCCCTTCATGGCAATAGTATTTCCTAATGGCAGTGCCCTCTTTCAGCGGGATAATGTGCCCTGCCAAACTGCAAAAATGGTTCAGGAATGTTTTGAGGAACATGACAAGAACTTGGCCTCCAAATTCCCCAAAGCTCAATCCAACTGAGCATCTGTGGGATGTGCTAGACAAACAAATCCGATCCATGGAGGCCCCACCTCACAACTTACAGGACTTAAAGGATCTGCTGCTAATTTCTTGGTGCCAAAAACCACAGCACACCTTCAGAGGTCTTGTGGAGTCCATGCCTCGACGGGTCAGAGCTGTTTTGGTGGTGTGAGGGGGACCTACACAATATGTCTTCTTTGCATGTTGAGTGGGGGCAAGTTATGTCAAACCATGCTAGAAGCACAAAGGGAACATGGTGCAGAGTGGGGTTTGACTTCAGGTGTCTCCAGGTAGGTGGGGACTATTCTTAAACCTGATGCAGGCAGCTATAGGGAGCCATTGGAAGGAGCACAGCAATGGGGTGATGTGAGAGGACCTTTGGTGTGCCAGATACGATCTGCTAGAACTGTATTGACAGGGTCCAATTTATAGATCACAAGGGACTGATCAAGCACCTTTATCACCCTAAAGTTGTTTCATCAGGTAAACACTACTGGGTTGATTTATACAGCTTGATGGAGTAAGTTCTTTTGGCCATAAAGGTGGTTCTTGTAGTAAAAGTGTCATTGTATTTGGCCACTTTGGAAACAAACTCTTGTGTTCCACAGAAATAAGGAGATCATTATCAGAGCATGTAGTTATAAGCAAATTAAATAAAACTATTTAATATGGTTGTGCTTTGTATGGAGTGGACTAATGGTGTAACGGGTAGCACTCACAGCTCCAGGGAGCCCAGTTTGATTCTGAGCTGGGGGGTGGGCTGTTTGTGCAGCGTTTCACATGGTCTCCCCCAAGGATAAAGCAGTTACTGAAGATGAAAGAATGTATTTTGTGTGAAACCACCTGGCTATTTAAGCAAATTAAAAAAAAAATTAGTTGACAAATCATCTTATTGACTACAATTTAAGAGGTTGGCCTTCTGCAATTGTAAGTCTTTTATTTTAGCACCTAATCATATTTAAATGCTTTTACTAATAAGAGCTAATAGATTTAGCTTAAGGGGATTTTGAGTGTGACAGGCAGCTAATTTTTACCACACAAGTGGATTAGCACCATTATAAAATAATGGACTGTCTGTCTCTATATGCCGCAAACCATCCAGGACTGCAATCTAACAATAAAAGATGTTTTTATGCACACAAAAATAAAACAAATAGAGATTAGACAAGCAACAACAGCATCAGGTAAATATATAGTTATAAAAACTTCATTTTTCATGCTTCCCTTATACCACAGTACTGTTGATTTCTCAAATATGATAGGTCAGAAGGTGTTGATTAATCGTAATTAAAAGTAATGGCAAATCACAGGTTCTAATAAACATGTTTCTTCAAATAATTAATTTTTTCTCTAGTAAGAACTCATTCCCACAGACTGGTGTACACTCCAAATAAATCTAATAGTTAAGAAATGAAAAAAAAAGTGTTGTTATTTAACAAATTAAAAAGTATGATCATTGATATGTGAAGCTTATATGCGGAGCCTGCCATGTCAGCATTTTGTAGCAGAAGTGCATCAGTTCCATCAAGTTTTCCACCATGGGAAAGTCTTCCAGATAGAGAACTTTGTGTCCTGCAGTTTCTCAGCAGCAAGCAGCACTTTTCTGTCTTATTAACTTCAAGAAAAAATGAAGGAACAACTGTTCATAGCTTCTCTAATATGAGTGATAACAGGAGTCTTCAGTGTCAGTGCTGGGTAACACTCAGTATTTTTTTAAACTCTGTCTTATTAACTGCAGGAAAGAGAAACAATAGGCTGGTGGGGGAATGACTGTTTATAGCTGCTATAATGTAAGTGATAACACTTTTCCCAGCATTCAACTGTCCAGTTTTGGTGAGCCTGTGCCCACTGCAGCCTCAGATTTCTGTTCTTGGCTGACAGAAATGGTACCTGATGTGGTCTTCTGCTGTTGTAGCCCATCCTCCTCAAGGTTTGACATGTGCATTCTGAGATGCCTTTCTGCTCGCCACAATTGTACAGCGTGGTTATCTGAGTTACTGTAGCCTATCTGTCAGCTCAAACCAGTCTGGCCTTTCTCTTTTGACCTCTCTCATCAACAGAACTGCTGCTCACTGGATGTTTTTCATTGCACCATTCTGAGTAAACTCTAGAGACTGAGATCAACAGTTATAGAAATACTCAAATCAGCCTGTCTGGCACCAACAATCATCACCAATCATCACCATTATTTGAAGCTGATGGCCCAGATCTTCATGATTTTATGCATTGCACTGCTGCCACACAAGATGCACACTGCTGCAAAAGTGCTCATTGAATGTATGTGTTTTCTCTTCAATGTCAAGCTTCACACTATTAAAACAGTACACTTTTTTTTAAATCGAGAGGTGGGGAATTCGGTTACCAAAGGGGAAACGTGGAAACAGACAGAGAAGCATGCAGGTAGGAAAGATGTAAAGATATAGATCCTAATGTTCTTCATTCAGCTTATGAGCTAACACAAGTGTGTTAAAAGCGGGAAAAACACAAAAATGTTTAGCTCATGGATTTGACCTGCTGTTGACCTGTAATGTGTCAAGGTTTCTGGATGAAAATAAAAATTTCAGCCCTTCCTTGGCTTTGTAATCAGTCAAATAACAAGGTAGGCTTTATTGTGTTTTAAAAATCACATCACATATCCTATATATTTAAAAATAAGTGCTAAAGATGATAAGAGCTAAGACACCCATTTGAGTGTGTACGATGTCTTAAAATTGTCTTGTGTTGCTTGTGTTGCTTTTATAAATTTATAAATTTAAATCTTTGTGACGTGTCCTTGGATTCTTTTAAAAGCATTATCTTAATTTTCTCACAGCTGAAATGCACAATAATGTGCATGACTTAATTTTTAAGAAAAATTCTGCAAGTTAAAACTGGGATTAGTGGGGGATTAGCAATTATATCTCTTTTTAGCACTTCATTGGTCATTTGAATGAAATCCAAACCTAACACATTCATTTAATCATATTCATACAAATTTCTCACTGATATCAGGTTCCTCATTCCTGAACTTGATTTCTCAATAAACTTCATTTGCTTAACTATATTTAAACAACTATAAGACTATTTATTGTGAGAACAACTATTATTGTCATTATACATATACATTAGGGGGGCATAGTGGTTAGCACGTTTGCCCCACACCTCACACCCGCCTCCGCCCTGTGTGCATGGAGTTTACGTGTTCTCCCTGTGCTTCGGGTGTTTCCTCCGGCTACTCCTGTTTCCTCCCCCTGTCCAAAGACAGGCAGATTGCCATTTCCAAATTGTGTGTAGTGTGTGAGTGTGTGTGCGATTGTGCCCTGCGATGGGTTGGCACCTTGTCCAGGGTGTCCCCCACCTTGTGCCCCAAGTTCACTGGGATAGGCTTCAGGTTCCCCCGCAACCCTGTGTAGGATAAGTAGTATAGAAAATGGATGGATAGATGGACATATACATTACATCTGTACAAAGTATTTCAGCAAACCTAACAGAGTACTCAAAAAAAAAAATAACTGCAGCAGAGCCAATAAATGAATGCAAAAAATTGGCCATAGGTCATCGACTCCAGCACGGCTTCTGTAGCAGAATCTCGGGCTTATCCAGCCATGTGTGTTTATATAAATGATCTAGCTGGAGGCAGCTCATCGACTACCTACAGGGCTAGAAACAACAGAGAGGGTAGAGTTTTCTCAGACTTTCATAGATTTTTCATTTTATTTACCTTCTGTTTCTCTGACAAAATGGTTTCTTTAAAAAAATGCACAAAAACAGAATGTTTAAATACAGTTGAAGACAATTGCTGATTGAGACAAGTGTGTCAAATTCTCTTTTGTTCGTGGTGCTAGTCAAAAGTTGTAACGTGAAGCTCCACTATGAAACAAAACATGACCACTTTGTTGTTCTTCTTCTTCTTTCGGCTGCTTCTGTTAGGGGTCACCACAGTGGATCATTGGGCCACATATTTGATTTGGCAAACCTTTTATGCCGGATGCCCTTCCTGAAAGGACCCTCCCCAATTTTATCTGGGCTTGGGATGGGCACTGCGAGTGCACTGTCATGTGCAACTCAAGGCTGGGGTTGGTTCTCTGGCCGGGAATCTAACCCAGGCTGTGGCGGTGAGAGCTCCGAGGTCTAACCACTAGACCTCCAGGAACCCAAAACATAACCACTTTAAACTGTCTTCTTTATGGTAATAATAATAATAATAATAATAATAATAATAATAATAATAATAATAATAATGATGATGCAGTTAATCCCAGAAGAGTGTAAGTCACTTAAAGACTTACTGATTGAACCTGCCTTAGAGCTCCACCTTGTGTCCAATGACCTCCAGTTCCAAACATTGTCTGAGTGGTTGTACTGTTTATCAAAGGTATACAGAATGTGCAAAGGGATGACAAATTATAGGAGAGAAAAAAAAGACAGTGGCTCTGTTATGCTTCGGGGGCATTTTCTTATTATGATTTGGGTGTCCTCTTAGAGGAAAGTGTCACTGCATGATACAAAGTTTTTCTGACTTATCACCTTTATCCTATAAAATGTTTCTATTCTGATGTCAGTGGTGTCTTCTATAACAATGTCTCCCTCCACAGGACAGGAGGGCTCACTGAATAGTTTGATAAGCATGAAAATGGTGTGAATCATATGCTATGGTCTGCAGTAGTAGTGTTATAATTTTAGATGAATACTATTTTACAGTGTTATTGAACGCACTTCCAGTGGGTGGCAGTAATGCTCCTCGGAGTGACCTGCTGTAAAGCACAAGAAGAAGAAACAGGTTTTCCGCAATAAACAGGTTTTGGATTAGAGGACTCTCACAGAAAATAACTATAGTCGGTAAGAAAAGAAAGTATTTGGATAAAAAATACAATAGTGGTTGAAGTTATGTTGCATCCAGTACAGGATGCTTTTGTTTTACAGCTGGCTAATGCGAGCTACCTGTCGCTAACACTCCAGCTAGCATAGTAAAGCACTTCAGTCAAGTTAATTTATACAACCACTAGCTGTCTATAATATATTTAATATATAGATATTAGCCAGATTATAGCCGTGTTTATTTATTTATTTATTTATTTATTTATTAGACCTGTAACTGTAAGGGTTAAATATCTCCCTGCTAAAAGACGAACCTATACTGCAGCTTGGTTTGTTGTTATCATGTCGTGTTCAAGAACATGCAGTTGGCTGCATCCCAAATGGCTCCATTCCCACTATACAAGTGTACTACTTTTATAGTAGCACACAGTGGCTTTAGCCCTAGCTACCTAGGGTCGCTGTTGTAGACTAGGGAGCCATTTGGTATTAGCGCGTTCATCCAGTCTAATTGGACTAGCGAACTTTAGCACTATGAGTAATTTACTCAGGTATTTATATTCAGTACTTTTAATTCATCTTGTTTTATTTGTTTGTTGTATTTTACGGTAGATAATACACACCTACATGAGTGTCAACTCAAACAACATTAGTGAGCTAAAGTGGTTTAGTTATATCTAATATCTCAGTGAAATATTGTACCTGTGCTGTTCATGCAGTCATTATTAGCATAGTAACGTTTGGATGGACATTTATGAATGTTTGTTAGATATAAATATAGTTCGTTGGCATACACAGCATACAGTCAGGTCCGTAAGTATTTGGACAGTGACACATTGTTGGTCATTTTGCCTCTGTACTCTACCACAATGGATTTGAAATGAAACCATCAAGAAGTGATGTGAAGTATAGACTTTCAGCTTCAATGCTGCCTTCACATGCTCTCTGAATTATTGTAAATATGAGTTTCCCACTAGGAAGTTGCACATGAATGACCCCTCAAGTCGTAATTACGAATGGGAAACTCAGAGATAATTTTCCAAGATTAGAGATTAAGTTTCCAAGATGGGAGAAGTCTTAAACTTTCAACATGGGTGGAGGAGAGGCTATGCTGTATTTCCCCGAAGTTGTGGAAAATTGTGTGCATGGTGTCCTGTTCAAAGATTTGGCCCATCCTTGGACACAGTGTTCCTGAGCTTGGCTTCGACTTCACTGCGTCCATGACCAGGATAAAACGGGCACCAAAGATGAATGAATGAATCCTCAAGCCTTTTATCAGTATTAGTTTCGGACCCCAGGACTGCTCTTTGCTGGAGCTTTTTGGTCAGGTGATTATTCACAACCCAGCAGTGACGTTAAAGTGTTTAAAATCTCCAGATACAAAGCATCACAGGGTTCACAATTCCGATTATATCAGTGATGCCGCTGTGTTCGTCCCTTTTTATTAATGGATGGAGTAGAGGGTGGCTAACAATTTGCACCTTATCTACAGATGGACTACAGTCAATAATTGTGACCTAATGTATGCTAGAGGTAGCTAATAGAATTGCCAATTAGTGTAGATACAAGGCAAGTGTATCTAAAATAAAATAAAATATAAATAAATAAATAAATAAAAGTATCCACTGAGAGTAAACAACTTAAAGGAAAAGTCCACAATGAAACATATTAAAATATGCTTCAACTGAAATATTTCCTGGACAAACTAAAGGACTAAAGAGCTGCTGCATTGGTCTCTGTAGGTTTGCACGGCATTGTAGGTAATGTAGGAAACCATTAACCAAAGTGAAACTAAAGAAGTCATTACAGAATTTCATTACAGAATCTTGGAAGCAATTGAATGTCATGTGTTAAATATAAATATTAATATGTAAATAGATCTATAATAAGATCTGTTTATAAGGATTGCTATGGGCTTGATGCCTTTCTGTGCTCTTACTGGAAATGTCTTTTTTTTTTTTCTTTTCTTTTTCTTGCTTAAACATTAATTCTTTAAGTGTCAAGAGTCAAGTAACCATAACTGGCTTTGTGTCATAAGGCTGAGGTTTAAAAAAAAGAGGAATGCTCTAGTGTGCAGCAAAATTGATTCATTTTAATCATTTCAGGGTTATGGACACCCCGAGAGGGTTTAGATTATTACCTGCTGTTCTGAACAGTGTTTACGGTGAAGTGCTGGGGCACACACAGGTGAAAATGCCAGTTAATAGTGCACTACGTTTAAATTTAGTGTGCTAAGTTGAACTAAGTTTACACTGGACGAATAAAACAAGACCTTGTGTTCTGACACCTGTGTCCTATTTGATTTGGGTGCAGTATTATTGGGATGTTCTTTCTCTGTCTTGTGCATTTTAGATCTGAGTGAAAACTTATCTCCAGAAGGCCGGGTGTGATCATGGGGAAGGCACTGTCCCACCTGTCCAAGCGGACATGCCAAGAGGAGTGCCACACCACCCTGAGCTCTGGCCCTGAGTACAACCGCATGCCGAGTGAGGATGTCAAGGGTGGTGGAGATGCCTCTCAGTTCCCGTATGTGGAGTTCACCGGCAGGGACAGTGTCACCTGCCCAACATGCCAAGGCACCGGGAGAATCCCACGAGGTAAACATTATATCCTTCAGATAAACACGAGGCACACATGACCTCCACAAGCTACCTAGCAGGTCTTCACTTAATATTAAGAGAAGTTGCCCATGGATTCAGCCAAAGAACAGTGATAAGCCTATGTTTTTAAAACAGTATTGATGTTGATGGCTATTAATCACTTTTACACCAGACAGTGAGGTACGTTAACAAGTTTGTAATATCACATTTTGTCAAACAAACAAATAAATAAATAAATAGGTCACCCTTACAGTCACTGAAGGGACTGTGAAGTGCACCAAGGGACTTGGATTGAGCTAGAAATATTGCAGGCCATTGATTGGTCAAATGCAGTTTTCAGACAGTTGTCATGAGTCATGACAACCATTTTTAAAATTAAATTAAATTATATTAAATTATTTTATTATTTAATCTTCACTAGCAGTGTGCTGATTGTCTGTTTAAGATTTTCTTTTCCTCACAATTTTATCATAAAACTTAATTTTTTTTTAGATTGATTTCTATGTATTTAATGTTTCAGCTTGATTATACATTTGTTAGTCAAAATCCTAATGGCTTTCAATATAGATTATATAGAGTACAGCATCATAAATGTGTAAAACATTTTGTGAACTTAGTTTGTAACAAATTAAATGAAGAACATTTTTCTGGCATGGTTTGAGTCCACATGTGTCCTTAAAGGGAAGTGTCACTGTAAATCCCCATGCGCAGGGCATGAGGGCACACTGAATGGTTTGATGAGCATGAAAATGATGTAACTCGCATGTTATGGCCTTCACAGTCACCACATTTTAATCTAATTAAAAAGCTGTAGGAGATTTTGGTTGATGACCATCAAAACACCAGCTGAGGGAATATCTTTTGGAAGAATAGTGTTTATTCTCCAGTACAGGTCTAGAGACTTCCCTTGTGGTGGCCCAACACCTTACTGCTATTTGAGATCAGGCAGAGAAAAGAATGGATATTGTAACAGTGTTTTTACTCAACATTCAGTTTGTTTTCATGAAGATGGAATTATTCTCACACTTGGCTTTATTAAGGTTGATCGCTGACATTACTGTGACAAATGACAGCACCATGCATATTTCAGCATATGCTATATGCCTATTTAAAAATTTTATATTGTGGTAAGATAAAAATATGAAATCCGAGTGGTGTTTCATCAGTCAGATGACAGTAATAACGGAAATGGATTAGTGTTCCTGACCACGGCTAATGATCAGCCCACAACCTTCAGAAGACTCCTATAGAACTTTCACAGCTAATAATATACAGTGGGAGGGACACACAGGGATTTGAGCAGGGTACTGATGGTACTGATTTGTATTAGTATCTCCACTGTGTCTAGCGCACTCTCCAGCGAAAAATTACTATAAAAGACTACGGAATGGTCGAGTTACGGAAGGATGTTTTTCTTGCAGGTCAGGAAAACCAGCTGGTGGCATTGATTCCGTACAGCGACCAGAGGCTGAGGCCAAGGAGAACGTAAGAACAGACTGTCTATAATGATCTTACTCTAACCGTATGAACTATGTCATCAGAAGCATGTCAAGTATGTTTTATGAAATTGAAATAGTCCTAGAGAACTCTTAGCTTGTCATTAGGGTGCTACCGTTACAAGTACTAAAGCAGGACAAATAAATATGTAGAATACTAATAATGTAAACACAATTAAATGCATTAAATTAATTCATTTCTACAGTATTCACTAGTCTGTTGATTTTAATGCTTTTATTTT